TCTGCGAGCTCTTCCGCAATAGCACGGATGTGATATGGTTCAAAACCACAACATCCACCAATGTAACGGACTCCAATATTATAGGCTTCCCTAGCAAAACGGTGTATGTCCCATCTTGAACAACTCCTGGGTTCCAATGCTAAATATAGAATCAAACAGTAAATAACTTACTTTATTTGTATAAGTTACGATTTGTTTACTCGTTGCATTCAGTAACAAGGTAATTTTAACTATTAAACCTCATATCATATTGAATTTTCCTTTTGTAAAATAATTTACTCTTTAAAAAAATTGTATTGTACGACAATAAATTAACAATAAATTGCATTACAAATAATTCTGTATTAACAATAGCTTTACAGAGATACCAAGATTTGAAAATGAGAAATAGTTCTGGTGAGATATGAAGACATGTCCTATTTTCTATATGCTTTTCGTTATAAAGAGTTTTTTCTTTTAATTTCTATGCAGGTTTGGCATAAACTCGTTATCCAGAAAACCATTGAATTTTTATCTTGCTCTAGTTGGTGCTATGTTAATGTTCTTGATAATAGATAACATCTACTCTGCTCTACAAGGGTTTGCATTAATTTTATTTAAGTGCTAGAAGGGTCGATAACTCCAACGACCAATGCTATGAGAGAACAATGTCGCTAGGTGATGCTGTCACTGGACAAAGTAATCGAGAATACCTAGTTAATCTAAGACTTCTTTCTTGATTTAGTTCTATTAAGAAATCTTCGAGTAATGATTTTAGATGAAATCATCGTGCTTTAATTCTGCAGAAATCGAGAGAGAAAGTGTAAGCTGTAGGAATAAACTCAATCTAGTAGATTATTGACTGTGATCTTGTGCACGCAAATAAGCACACTGTTCTCTCCTTTGTTTTTGATACAAGTTCTCAGACTTTACTTAACACACTGTTCAGTTGTTAGTAAGCTACTTCACAAATTTTCTGCTACTAAGACATCCTATCATGTACTTGCAAGGAAACCAATTTTATCTCAGAAAACTACAAGTAGATAGGAAGGCGAAATGGTGCTGTGACCATAGAATGTCTGTGTTGATAGCAGGCTTCTGGTCCTTGCTTGATATCTTTACCTTAACTGAGTTGAAGAGAATGATTAGAAAGTCTATTATGGACATAGAAATACTCAAAACGAAGAGAGAGAGAGAGAGATTGCAGAGAGACTTTTTATGGAAGATATTTTGAGTCTAGGAGAAATTCTTTCCTGGACATAAGACCTTTGCTGATGATATGAAGAGCCATGACATTGGATACACAGCGGTAACAGACCTAAGAGAGTTGTTTGCACTTGATGCATCCAGACCTTTTGATCACACGATACTCCTGAGAAGAACAGATCTCAACTGAAGAAAAATGCAGAAGACAGAGGGCGTATGATTAGTCCAATACTATGTATGGAGAACCTTATTAGACTCTTAGACCATCACCGTTTGAAGCACAGAAGCTCCAGCTATGGTACAAACTAGTGGAGAGAAGCCAGATGTACTGTTGTTGGACAGTCTCTGCCAATAAGACTTGATTTTCTGGTATGGACAACAGGCACCCACAGGTGAAGATTGTGAATCACATGGGTAGCTCCCTTTCAGAACTAAAAGGTTTCTTGCAACCTTAACAGCAGTTCATAATACTTAGAGTTGTGCAAGTCTGTATGATAGGCCACCCAAAGTGTCTCATTGTTCTGTCACCTGGGGTAAGAGAATAACCAGCCATCTTGGAATCATTTGGAATACTTGTTGGCTGCATCCATCTGGATCCTATGACATTGGTGGCCTCTTCACTTTGCATAACTCGAGATCCAATAAGGAAAAGTTTGACTACCTGTACAGATACCTGTGAGTGAAACCAAACAGATCACACCTCAATATTCAAGAAGACTTTCGTCAGTTTCTTAAGTGTTTCAGACTGGTCACTGTCTAGAATGGGTGGACTTGGGAACAGTCTGTTTGATGCTCATTTCTGAGATTAGATGGTCTAGCTCTCAATGCTCTTCATCAACTGGGTGAGTAACTAAAGGAGGATTAGAAGTTATGTTGCTGATTTGACCCAGTGGAAAAAAATCACGAACTTTATCATGCCGAATTGTGCTAATTCCAAGTTTATTGAGAGACTACCTAATGGACTTATACAACAACAATATTTGAAGTAGTCCCTTATAACTGACCATTAGCGAGGAAGAAACCTGCAACAACAGCAGATGTAGTAGCAATTTTACCGATGGGTAGTGCTACCTAGGTACCTCCATTATGTTGGGCTAGACTCAAATGAAGGGCTAAAAACAATTCATCCGTACATTCCAGCACATTGGTGCACCCACACTGATCTCTACAGATTGTGCAACGTTATCCAGATTTATCATAAGAAGATTTACCTATGAGACATACACCTCGGCAAATGCTTATGTATCTGCCTGGATATCATTTAGGACGGGATGAGCAAAATAACTGCTTTGCTTGTGGACTAGTGAGGCAATGGGATAGGAACTGCCAATATGGTGCTGAACAGGAATGAGGCAGAGCTAGGGTAATTTGTTTCAGCATACAGCTTAGCAGATGAAAGCCAACCCACAAAATGAACATTTCGGCGAACAGTGAGGTAGGCTGGTTATCCATAATGGCCTTTGGATCAGCAGTTCCATGATGACCAGCAAAAAGTGTTGAATGCTGTGGAAAGTGCTCTAGAAAATTGATGGAACCCAAGTCATGCTGTGCCACTGTCTTGTTGAACCACAGCGAGATACCTGCACCAAATAGTTCATTGGTCAATATAGCTCTGTCAGTACTGGGTGAAGCATATTATTTTAAGAGGATACAAGAGCAACAGTTTGAATTCCTGGTAGACCCAGGAGTGTTGAGAACCATATTGGGCGTCGTGATCTTTTGAAGCCCTCCAAATGAGACTATTGCTGCAGATAGTGGTTACCAACTTCATTCCATGAATAGTAATAGAATAAATGTTCGACGAAAGGTGGATCTCTGGCTCAATTTAAGAGGTTCCAATTACAGAACAAAATAATCATTTCCATTCTCAAACCTGAAATCGACATCTTTGGGATGGACATACTGCAGAGCTTGTCCAATATTTTTGCTTGATGTTCTGCGGGAAAGTCATCTATTGCCAATCAAGCCCACAAAATGTGTACTCGAAAAGCGTATGTATCAGAGGCAACAATAGTATTTCCATGTACACAAGTAGTTTTCTGAGATTTGATATGGAGAATCTAATGTGTCATTTCTGTGTAATGTCGTTATAGAAGCCACACATGAAATTATTTGTTTTCTGTCCGGAAAGAGACATAATTAGCTCAGATGGTTATCTGCTTAACAAGGGATGAAGTCCTTTTGTAGTTGGTTGTAGTCATGGTGAGCAAAGATGAAGTAACCATTTCTAGCAATAATTCTAGCGTTTCATTCACTGCACCATGGCCAAATGCAATTGCTGCCTCAGGTCATTGGCTGAAGTTTGTGTTGACAATCTAGAACCAACAGAGCAAATATAACTCAGTTACTTGTTGGGGTACTATTTAGACATATACAATGCATGTATGACGAAACAACCACTGTGATGGGCTCTTTGGAGCATTAGTGATGTTGGAAATAGTGAAATACAGCAGCGTACACCCTTCATAGAGCACTTTTCCATCGCCAGTAGTGATAATCAAGCAGAAGGAAGGTACACCTAGATTGTGTGTTGATTTGAGATAGATAAAAATGGCAAACCTTTCCTTTAACCTAAAAAGATGAATTTTTGGATGCGTTAGAATGTTCTTATTGGTTCATACCCTAGATCTGGTAGATGAAGTGTAAGACTAAAATACGTTTGAAACTACCCTTAGCTCACTAGACAGTTTGTTTGCTTTCTGCATCATGCCATTCAGTTTGAATGTACCAACTACTTTCAAGTGGATGGTGGAGCTTACACTTAAGAGATTGCAATTGGAGAGATACTTGGTCTATATCAACTAAGTTTTGGTGTGTGGCCACACTGTTGAGTTTGTGTCTGAGAACCTGAAGATGTTATTTCACCACATACGAAAACTGAGCTTTTAACTTTAACTACTAACGTGTGAACAAAGATGAAGATTATTAGTCACAACGTGGGGAGAGATGAAGTCTCAGTTGACCTGGCTAAAACAGCTACAGTGAGAAGTTTGTAGTTTTCTTTATTTTTGTCATATTACTGATGATGTGTAACAAATGTTTTGAAAGCAGTAGCAATATTTTCAACTCTTCCAAAAGTGCGTTTTCGAGGGAGCTTGAAATATGACCATATATTCGATTCCCTACAGCTTACTTTAGCGGATGCTCCAGTGCTGGCCTACTCCTGTTAAGAATGAGTTTATATTGAACATTAATACCAGTTACAATGGAGTAAGAGCAGTATTATCAAAGGGGCAAGACAGAGTAGAACCTGTAATTACATACCAAAGCTACACGCTCATGGCTTCCAAATGCAGACTGTTTGAGAAAGTTACTTGCAGTGGTAAAAAACATAATTGCCACTACTTATATGGTAGAAAGTTCACAATTTGTGTGGAACACAGTTTGTTGAAGTGGTTTGTAAACTTTGAAAATTGAAGAGGATGATAGCATGTTTGATGATGAGGTTGCAAGAATATGACTTTCTCATAGTTCATATCTCAGGCCGTGAGCTACTGAGCATACTTATATCAGGTTATTTGAATATTACTGAAGTGAATCATGTGGTAGCTGAGGATGAGATTTATGAATTACTAGAGTACTTGACAAAGTGTAATGGTGGCATATGCATATATGTATCTAAACAAATAACACATGAAAATTATGTAAGCTTAGGGATAGTGAAGATCTCAGGTTCTCAGGACACGTGTTTTTTGGAAAGGTTAGGAGTGAGAACACTTTAAACACGTAAACATGTCGGTTGATCAAAACCAATGTTATAGTTCGTGGTCATAAGTGTGTGTTATGACCCCCTTAATCTGTGCACTTGGAGGAATCTCTGACCAAGTAGAATTAGTAATTCTTGCATTAGAATCAGGACTTTCAGTATTTAATTTCAAGACTTAACCATAACTAGCCTCACTTTCATTGATTAGCCAGTGGTTGCTTTTTGTAGCCGTGATTACCATGGATTCATCTTCCAGCTGGATGAGGCCTTACAACTAACTGCTCCAGGATTCCCAGAACCTTCTGTACAGTGAGAGCTTGTGGAGAATGAAAGTGCCAGCCTGAATTTAGCCTATGGGTGAAGACGCGTTGCTTGTCAATACACTGTGTGAGCTTGCCTGTTCATGAACAGGTTAGCACTGTTGTCTGCTGGAGCTTAGATGCCTATGCTAATGACAGTAGTGTAAATCTTGATGCCACTGAATAGTCCAAGAAAATTCCTAGAATTACATTATCAGCACTATCTACCCTGGAGTTCAACAGCTGAAGTATTTGCCATTATTGACTTTACTCTCAGAAGAAGTATAGATCAAGAAAAGATGAGGCCTGATACTTGTCTTATAATAGGGGGTGTTCGCATCATGACGATGAGGAAATGGCAAATGTGCTCTCATTTACAATAGGACCACTACATTCTGAAAACAAATAATATATTTCCGACATTAGGATTGTCCCAAGAAGCATTTAAGTCTTGAGAAAATACAAGCTGGGTATAATCTATCATGAATTTACAAGCTGGGTAGAATCTATCATGAACTTATCACCAAATACCGAGTTATAAAGTGGCCAAGTTGGCTCATGAATAGGTTTCAGTTGTACACGAAAGAGTCTCCATCCAGAAAACTAGAAAATCACACAAAATGTACACCACTTTGGTCAGTGAGACACCACTGATCAAACCACCCTCGGAGATATCTTAGGTGCCGAGTGTGTAGCTCCCTTACAGGCCAATGCAGATGATTATGAACGAACCCATCTTAGATCAGTTAACAGTAGTCAAACGTCGTTCATAGAAATAGCCATGGAATGAGAAAGATTCTTGGTCCCTATGTCTAATAGGAAGATTGCCTGAGGCAAAGGACTACTCCTTTATCAAAATGGAGGAGGGGGTCCAGCATCTGTAGGTCAGGCTAGTTGAAGCCAAGCAAGCTCTAGAGAGAGAGCCCAAAATGAACTTTAGGCATCCACCTCATCTAACCGATAGGAAATGTACATACAAGGAAATGAATTTTACCCGAGAGTACCACAATGGAGCCCAAACCTTGGTTGGACACTTAATATTTTGATCACAGTCCTGGACATGAACAAAATGTAAATGCTATGACACTGTTGTCAGACTTTAAGCAGAAATCATATTGTAAATAATATACATTATTTTCCAAAACAATTATTGCCCATGTTCACACATCTGTTTCTGCTCGTATGGTTTAGAGCTCTTTGTCTTTGTTGAAAAAGTTGTTAATGTCCTCAATGATATACAGCATTTGCTTTACTTATGTGACTTCCAGTTTTTTGTGTTTTATAATCTTGTCTCTACGATTGTGAGAAAATCTAACCGGTATGTCTGATATTCTTCGAGCCCCAAGATGTATTTTTTACTAAACTTTTGTCTATTCCGATAACACATAGAGTTCTTACTTAGAGTGGGAGGTGCATTTATACCATTGTCCATTAAAGTGAATTAGTAAGATAAACATGTTAACAATATCCATGTCTGCGGGCTTACAACGCTAGAATCCAGGTTTCGATACCCGTGGTGAGCAGAGCGCAGATAGCCCATTGTGTAGCTTTGTGCTTAATTACAAACAAACTAACAATATCCAGAATAGGTTCCTGGCTTTTAAATGAACACTGTACTAAAATAGTTTGCTATGTTACAGGAAGTGATGTTGGTGTTTTTAATACAAGTGGATCAGGTGAAAGAACTCAAGAAAATATTTTATGATCACTTACAAAGTATCCTAACATATATATATATATATATATATATGTGTGTTTCCGTTAAAGTAAATAAATTAAACATGAAAAATAGGTCTCTTAAAATTACTGGCTTTAATTTCTTTGCTATTAAGCACAAATTGGTTATTGTGTTATATCCACAACGGGTATGGAAACCCAATCCTTATAGTTAAAAGTCCACAAACTTACCGCTGAGGCACTGGGGACCAATTAAAGAAACGGTACTTTTGAATAAATATCCATTTGCCGCTCCTTTTTTTTACAAACTAGAAAAATACAACAAATCGAATTACCAAATGGAAACTCTGGAAGATCAATATAGCCCCTTTTTCCTGCATCAGGAGTAAGAAATACTAAAGGCTGACACATAAGGTGAGGTTTGAGTCCTTCGGCATCCAAAGCTTTCTTCATAAGTTTCATAGCTTCCAAAGATTCAATGGGGCCAAAACGGCAATTCACACCTATTACATCAGCACCTTCAAAAACAAAAGCTGATTAGAAAACCAATATTAGATTTCCAGTTTTGTTGGGAATGAAACTCATTGGTCTATGATTTTAAATACATTAGAACGTGTACCGTAGTTATGAAAAGTACATGGCCATGTTTGATAACAATAACAACTGAAGACTGCTCAAAATACATTATTACATAAAACTAAACAAACTCAGTTAAAGCAGCCTTAACAAGATTTACAAAGCGTTTAACTTTCTTAATCATAATTGTAAGACTTCGCCCATTCTTTAATATTACAATACTTAGGATTATGTAGAGTAAACTTAACAAATGAGTAGAGAAAAACATTAATGATAAGTCTAAAATTACAAAACTAAGTAAAAATATAATAGACAAATACCTGCTTTAACCATTTTCACTGCACACTCTCCACATGATATCTGGTTAAGGTCACCCTCAGGACCAATACACATACTGGCTACCACAGGTAACTTTGTCTTCTTGCAGACTTCAATCGCCCATATTATCTCTTCAACGTGTTCAAAATACTACAATAAAGAGATTTTCTGAATAATCCCTTACAAAAAAACAACAAAAAACAAGTTTAAAGCTGAAACTATCGCAGTTATTTATTTAAGAAACTGCATTTATTTGAATCATGTGGAACCATTCTGTAGATACAATAAATTGTAAATTACAAAACAGAACTCTTTCGCACTCATCTGACTTTAAGAGTGCATTCTATAGAAACGACCATTCTGAAGAAATAAGGTACAGTAGATATAATGAAATATAAACCCAGAAATAAGGTACAGTAGATATAATGAAATATAAACCCAGATTTACCTGTTATTTAGTATTTATCTACAATTTAAAAATTAGTTGTAACAACTTATTAGCTGTAATAGAAGATAGTGAATATAGTAGACATTTAATAGTAGTATTCTTCATAGTTTAAATGATAATTCATCCAAATGCTATGTACGTAAAAGACACTACTTCTAATAAATTATAGTATAACATATTTCAAGCTCCATTTTATTTCCCAGTAACTTCTTTCTATGTATGCTTGGAAGAAATCTGGGATATTTACCTGCACTTCAAAATCAGTATAGTAATTGCCAGATAATGGAATGAATCTCTAAAACTAGAAATGTTCGTTTCTGAACAGCACAAGTCTTCTTACTTACAAAATAGTTCAGTAAGAAATAAAACTGTGAATAACTGTACAATATCATACCTCACAGACTATAAAATCCACTCCGTTTTTAACGAACACATCGACTTGTTTTCGAAATTCTTCCTGCACTTTCTCTTTGTTTGTACCTGGCTGGTAAGTTAATATTTGTGCCAATCCACCAGCAACAAGGCAGTCACCTTCTTCTGCTACTTCACGAGCAAGTTTACATGCTTCATCATTTATGTCATGCCCCTGAAAAGCAATACCAGAATAATGTGGATAACTGTTTTTCTCTCCCACAGTCCCCCCTGAGTTAGAGCTTTTATTCTTTATTTTTGATAACTCCAATGTCAAATTCTGTCGATGCAAAAATGGTACTCATCAAAAGTAACCTTAGTATAAATTTTCTTTTTTATTCATTCCTAACAACTTTTGTCAGAAATAACTATAATACATAAAGGAAGACAGTACCCTAGCAAAGGCATTGGGGAAACAAGACTAACAAGCATCATTGAGGGTTATTGCTTTTGGATCAATATTATAGGTTAACAAACAAAGTCTGGTAGCAAACTATTGCAAAAAATCAGGTGTCCACACCCCACGTGATCTTTAAAAAAATTTAACCCAAAGAAATAGAAAAGAAACAACTATCCACTGAAGAATGAAGTACATCCTTCTTTGATTGGGAGTTCTATGCCTTCAACCTCGTCACTCAAAGATAATTAGAGCTGCAAGCTTGTAAAATATATTAAGTATAAAATAACTTAGAAGCATTAAATAAAAAAAGTCGCGATTTACTCCTTTTCCCCATTTATGTCCCATATTTGCTAGGCTACCATGATTGGGATCATCTTTACCACCAATGAAAAACTTCTCTATGAAGTTGACCAGAATAAAACAAGTTAACACTCAAAGATAATTAGAACTGTAAAGTTGGTAAAGTGAACTAAATAATAAGCTTAAAAGCACCAAATCATGATCCATACTTACTGTAAATTGTTTTCCAGCTTCATTTTCCCTGTTCACTAGTTTACTATCACTAGCATTAAATGTGAAGGTTTGCATTACATCTGCACCAGCTCTGAGGAATTCTCTATGAAGTTCACGTACTAAAGAGAACAAAACATATACTAGCAAAGACCAGCAAAGAGAAATCTTGTATGGCCATTTTAATGACAAGTACAGATTAATGTATAAATAATTTTAAAAGCCATTGACTAAGAATACAAATCATTGTCATTGTTGATAAAAAAAGATGAGACTTAATAGAGTTATAAATATATTTAAAATATAATTCGTAAAATAATACAACAATATAAAGTTATAGCATTAACGTTTAAGAGATAAATTTGTGACAAAATATATATATATGCCTATACTTTCTTACCAGCATCTGGATTCTCAACACTTGCTTCTGGTGTCCAAGGTCCTGCTTTCACATAACCTCGTTTCTCCAAAGCAAACACAAATCCTCCATCACCAATGACCACTCCCTCATCCAAACGTTGGAGTAAACCCTTCTTTATTAATAGAAAACAGCGAGTTTCTTACTAAGTGGAAATTTTTAAGAAACAATATTTAAGTTTCTGATCAAAGCAAACAACCTATTAATTAGATCAGAACTAAAAATTACATCAGGAATTTAATATGCCAATGTAACTTGGAGTATACGGTCATAAAACGCGAGTTTATAATGATTAGAATTCACATATTCACAAGTTTTGTGCCGATGGCTATTAACGATATTTGTAGGCAACTGGCAAAATATCATAGAAGTAAGCTGTATTTTGTTGTACATGAAACTATATATTATTTTAACCAATTCTCATTACAATGAATATTTTATTAACAACAAGAGCCTACAGTGGTTATTAATTTTTAATAACTTTCTCAGCTAATTTTAAATTGAAAACTATAGTATTTTAAAGGCATTACGTTTACTAGTACCCTAGTAGCTCAGCGGCAAGTTTGAAGGCTCACACCGCTAAAAACTAGGTTTTGATACTCGTGGTGGGCAGAGCACAGATAGTCCTTGGTGTAACTTTGTGCTTAGATTTGATAAAGAGTCGTTTTCATATGGAAGTTGTCAATACATAAATTGTAATATAATGTTGTAAGCTATATTTTAAAAGTGTGAATACTTATTCACACACTAAACGCTTGATTAACTTCTCAATGCTTCACTAATTCTAGTGTTTATAATGTACCCCCTGCTTCCACATGCTATGAATCTTCTTGGTTATTATATCATCATATTTAGAAATTCTCTAGAAAACAACAAAATTACAACATTGAAGATATATGTTACGACAATAATAATAATAATGTTTTAAAACTAGAAATAAACAACCTTATAACACCAAATAAATTTTTCTTTAATTAGACACTCAACGTTTCGCTTTACAGCTTCTTCGGGAATATTGTACTAAACAAATACTTGCAAGTTAATGGCAGTAATGTTACTTAACTAAGGCTAACTTTGATTTTTGAGCACATAACTAGTTGAACGCTCCTGAAGAAGCTATAAAGCGAAACGTTGAGTATCCAATTAAAAAAAAAACAAATTTGGTGTTATAATGCTGTTTATTACTAGTGATAAAATCCCTTTTATACACCAATATGCAGTACAGAAATCAAATAATAATAATGTGAGCTTATGGAGAAAGGGAAGGAGGAAATCAGAACTGATCTTAATCTTAAATGTAATCTTAAACAAGTTTGATCCCAAGAATAGTATTAGATTTCTGGTTGTTTCCTTTAAAGAGATTTTGAACATACATATTGTCCACATCTTTGAAAGCAAACGGTTCTTTACCTCATTAGAAGAAACAAGCAATTCAAGATTGAAAACGTTTACTTGCTGTTAAGTTCCAACTGCTGAAGAGATTTTGAGACTTGGTGAGGAGACGTATTTAGATAAACTAAAAGATATTTTTTGGAGGCTAATTTTTCTCAACTAACAGTTTAGGGTTTTTAACAGGCCCTTCACGAGCCAGTGGGGGACATTTTTGTTTAAAAAACAAACAAACTACCCAATCCTGTTTTCTTAATATGAACTGAAATTTTTTGGACACTTTAATTGGCTAACAAGAAAGCATTTCTAGCACTCTTTTATCGTCGAAGTTGCGAAAAGCGATTTGAAGTGGTAAGGGGACTAAAATCCGTCAGCGCATCACGAGCTTAACGACCAAGCACAAGAACCATGGAAGTCTCCAAATGACACGCAGAGGTATTCAGGAACCGTTTAGAACCACCTTGATAGATATTGTGCAGGAAGCCAAGTATAATATTATGTCTGGTCATCCTACTGCTGAGTATGCTTTGACCTTACCTACCGAATCGCAGGTGAAATCGTTCGTATCTCAGTTGAAAACTAAACATGAAAAGGTGATAGCAGAAGCATAATAGGTTGGCAACTGCTTAATTAATGATGCTGAGAATGTGGCTTTATTGATATATACTGAATTTACTCCCAGCGGGTAGACCTTAGTACTAGCTAGTGTGGAAACTTGAGGATGCTGTATTTCACTTAAAATTTTATCAATTAACAAACGAAAATTTGTCTCGAAAAGATACACCCAAAACCACTTTTAATATTCAATAAATGATAGTGTAAAGATACCCCTTGGCTCCTGGTGGAAGTATTAAAAAGAACGTACAGACTTTATCGCTGCAAGATTTAATTATAATATTTAGTATCCTTGTTTAAGTATTCAAATAGGGTAATTTATAAATAATTCCAAATTAAAAGAAAAATTCAAATAGCAGGAGCAATCAGCTATGAGACAATGTGACAAATTAAGCAGTAAAACAAAGCATTATAAACTCCAGATATTATATACCATTATTGCAATTTACGAGGGGCAGTTCGAGCAAGATTCATATATTGCAAAAAATTTCAAAATGCATACAAAATATGAACTCTGTAAACCTATTTTCTACTGTGACGCTATTTTCTCCTTTGAAAGATAATTTCATCAATCAATCACTAACTAAGAAATAAAAGTATATAGTAATATATCAATTACAATACTAATACTAGATGTACAAGTGCAGGGTCCCCGAAAATGTTCTGCTTCAAGAGTAAATAAAACCAAATCAAGAATAACAAATTTTTTTTCTTGCTTTTGAATTTTTTTTTTTTTTTTTGTAATTAAGCACAACGCTACACAATTGGCTATCTGTGCTCTTCCCAACACGGATATCGAAACACGGTTAATAGCGTTGTAAATCCGCAGACATGCCGCTGTGACACTGGGGAGCCTTGCTTTTGAAGTTCAAATGTCATGCTGTGTTGTAGCCTACAGAACGCATAATTATTTTCGTGATTCGTGCCATGCGAATGTTATACTGACGTCACGACAGTGCAAGTTGCAACGTTAAACATCCTTTTAGTGTCTACTGACTGACTGACAGGTAACATAACCGTATAGTGGTGCGAGTGGTTAAAACAGGTGAAATAATCTCTTATTTTAAGTTACATGCTTCAAGATTTCGATATTCTTGTACATTTTCTAAAGTATTGGATAATTTTTTTTAGTTCTTAAATATTATTTTTTTCTGGACCACTTTGTCCCCTACACTACAGTACCGAAAAATTACAATTAGCACTACAATGAAAACTTCAAAGGTATAATGGAATATATTTATTCTGTGCTGCTATTGTGATGACACTCAGTATCGAGCTCCTATTTTTGAAATATGCTTAAGACAAAGTACTAAGCATATGATTAATTATACATACTAGTAATTAATTTAGCAGTAAGCATCATTATTTTTTATGAGTTACAATTCAATGGTCTACGTGTACTAAACTAAACTATAGTTTTCCTTGAAATGAATTTTTACAGAATATAAAAACAAGTTCGCAATGGACATTGAAGAATCCGGACATATTATTTACTTACTTTGTTATCTTGAGCTGATCCCATTATTTTGTATATTTCAAGGTTTTTCCCACTTCTATCCTAGTTGTCGAAATTTATATTTAACATTTATTCTGCAAAGTTTTATGAGACTTAGAGTTGATGTTGTATGGTATTTATAATACTAGCGTGTGCAGTAGTTGTCATGTGATTAACTATACTGGATTAAGTATTGGCTCTTTGTCACGTTCACGTGATGTCACTCGAATTTATACTTAATCGCGCATTACGGCCGCGGTCTAGGGTTCGCCTTAGAGCCCTGTATAAAATTATTTGCATTCTCCTGCTTTTCCTGAAAGTATTTTTTTTTAATTTTGATTTCATCTTTACTGGTACAAATTAAAAAGAGGAAGCCCCCAGCTTTCTACGCCACTCTGTATCTAATTTTGAAATGCCAGAGTGTCTTGAATGGAGGCAACCTGAGACGTTGAAAAAATGGATTTCAAATATTTGAGGAGACAGGTGGTGTCAAACAAAAGCATCTAGATTGTACTCTGAACATTTTGAAGAAGAATAGAAGAAGAAGAAGATAGAACAGGGCAAGATGTTCGTCTGACAAGTAATGTTTAGCCCAGTGTATCTTCATTTTTGGAGCACCTATAAAAGGTACATTATCATTACGAAATGAGTATGCTATTCTAAGTAGTCAAATATTCTCTTTAGATTGTTGAAAATTGGTTTACGTGTTTACTTCTAGGGAACGTTTTATATTATTCTGTTCTAGTTTTTGTTTGAATTTGTTATAACATAATGTTTTTAATTGCTGAAGTTTGTTGTAGACAGATTTTGTTATAAATTGTGTTAAATAAGTAAATGAAATAAATTGATATCACACATAGACCTATAATGGTGTCGAGAAAGTAATGAAAAGAAAAATGTTAGTATACTTGATATTACACATTCATAGTAATCTAATCTATATCTGATTAAGAACATAACATCTATGCGAAATCAGTGATGATATATTTGAAATTTACTAAGCAGCTATAATACCATTTACTTTTTATGTAGATTCATTTCGATATTTAAGTCAAAACAATGATGTTCGTTGCTATGTCTGTCTTCTTGAGTGGCACTATAGCATTTCTGTAGAAGTTAATAAATAATAAGAAATACGATAATAATTACAACAGTCAAGCAATAAAACAGTTTGCTCATGTAACAAAGTACTTGTTAAAAAGGGAAAACTATAAATGGTTATAGTGAATTATAGATTCAATAATGTATTGTGATTTATTTGTAGTTTGCCAAAAAGAGAACATCATTACGAAAGTTCTTCAATTCAAGCACACCTGCCTATCGATCGAGATCCAGTCACCTCAAGTACAACATCTGTAGAGAGCAATAATAAGGATCGTGTATTTCTGGAAAATAGCTACCATGGGAAAGATAGCTCCTCAACAATAAAAAGAAAAACGAACAAATTAATTAATTGATAATTTCAACAAGGCTATAGAAAAATTAAAGTTTTCACAACAAAAAACAGGCGTTTGAAACAAACTGTTATTTCGTTAAAGGTGTTTTTGTAAGATCCGAAAAAGAAAATTGAATACGCACCAATGATTATGTTATGCTGAGCATCACCTTTTCTGAAATGGCTTTTAAGAAATATTTAAATGATCGTTGCTTTTTAACAAGGAAAAGAAAAAACAATTAACTCGCAAAGCATATCTTTCACTATTTCGTTCTTAAACTTTGATATTGCAGTTTTACTCAACCAAATTCTACAGTTTTGGAAAACATACTTTCAATCTTGGTCTATTATACTCATTCTTTATTCGAAAGTGGTATTGAAACATTAATAGGGCACTAGGCTTCACTCAAGAAGTATTGAACGCATTACAAGTGGCTAAAAGAGAGAGAGAGAGAAGAAACCAATCAAATTACTTATGCTTTAATGCTACATGAAATAGCCATACGAAAACATGTGGAGCGGGAGAGAAAGAAATGTTTTGGCTAAGTTTATGTTTGTGCAGATACAGAAGACGATAAAACCCCTTGTCAGCAATGTATTGTTGTTTCCCATTATTTAGTTTCTATAGTTCATATTTGTATAGAGAAAATATTTTAATACTAGAAATAAACGACCTTATAACACCAAATTGTTGTTTTTCTTGAACTGAACCCTCAACGTTTTCGTTTATAGCTTCTTCGGGAGCGTTCCACTAAAACTTAAACCACAACTGACAGTTTTGTACTGTTAGTTACGATTTGAGTTTTAGCGGAACGCTCATGAGGAAGCTGTAAAGCAGTGATTCTGAACGTGGGGCGCATGCCCCACAGGGGAGCAATTTGAAAGTGCTACAATAAGAAAAAAATTTCATTCGAGTGTGAAATTTTGGTAAATTTCGAAATTTTACATTATATTATTATAAATTTTCAACACCAAATTTGTTTTCATATTAAGGGGGCATCAAATTTTTTGAGGTGTCGAGGTTGGGCATGGAGCAAAAAAAGGTTAAGAACCACTGCTGTAAAGCGAAACGTTGAGTATTTTTGTTTCTGTAAAGAGCAACTGTTGGCTATTTCTTTATTAATGACATAACACGATAAGAAGAAGGTGTAATTATTTGTAATCATCCAAGTTACCACTTCTCCACGTTGAAATAACTGTGTGGCAATATGTCTCCAGAAAACTTACAGTCCCTGACACCCTAGCAATGAAAAATCAAAACTCTTATGTCATAATCAATGTGTGCTACATGCTAAAACTACAAGAACAAGAAGGCTTACACCTAGAAAATCAATTAGGTTGATTTTATTCCAACATCAGTACTTTTAAATCGGATGGAGTGTTCAAATGTTTGTACAACATTCAAAGTGTATATAGTATCGTTTTACAAACTTCTAAATGTATATAGCGCACTTATAAAATAATTATCTCATAATTAATAAACCTAATTCAGTATTACATGTACTTTATTAGCCTACTCTTTGTGTAAATATGTATAGGTTTCAATATAACACTATTATGATGTATTCAGAAACAATGAACTACAACACTCAACGGTTGTGTGCTATTTCAGTTTTAACACGTGTATAAGCTTATACCGAAAGTTATTACTTTATTATTAATGATACACGCAGACCACAATAAAATTAATGCAGACCAATGCTATTGTAACGAATTTGTTGTTAAGTATTTATTTTAATATGAACGTTGTTTAGATTAAGTTTATATTTAAAAACATGCATAGCTTGTAGTGTTAGATATGTATTGCGAAACTCCCGCCAATTCTCCAAAGTTGTAGAAGATTCTCGAGAGTAGGAATCAACAATATATTTATATACGTAAACGTTTAAATATAGCTCAGTATTATTATGTAATCTGAATTTTCTAGAAAACCTTCCCACGACTATAAATACAACCAACACGACGCGGCAAAAGGGTAGTATCTATTATTAGTTTGCTATAGTCAGTGTGCTATAAACTTTGGAAGCTATAACTGATCGGAAAACTTAAGATATTTGACCAGGAATATTTATAAATTTCGAACGCTACAAATCGTTTAACTTCAGTGGATTCTCATCGGACATTAGTATTTTTACGAAAACATTACCTATCTTCAACGAACCAAAAATTCAGTGTTTGTGGCAAAGGACAAAGCTAGCTAGCTTCCCGGCGGATCGTATCTACATCGACTAGTAATTAACTCGCTCATCGTAAACCCTCCATAAGATATCAAGGAAGTTCCAAACTAGAAAGAAAGCTTTATATTGTTTGTGAGTTTGCAAAACTATTGCTTATAAATTTGTAATAATTGTTATTGTAAATGGTATGGTTATGTGTATATTAAAACATATTTGTGTTAAAAACGAAAACGGTGTACATCAATCTTGTTGGCAAATATCGTAAATTGACTAATATATCGACATATATTTAAATAATAAATCCAAATACAATTTAATTACTAAATTTAAATTATCAGTTAACTCGGCTTCGGATCACTTGAAATTCTAATACTTAAAACTATATTTACAGTTACTGTTCTCTTTTAGCTTTACAATGCCAGTTTTAATAAACATTTTTGTACTTTATTTAGTTATTTTGCTTTTCATAGTTACTATGAAAATTAAAAATTAGAATGAAAATGAATTAGAATATCCCTAGTAAAGTCACAAAAATTGAGATCACCAAAACTGAAGAAGTAAAATGATTACAAAGCATTCATCCACCACTTAGATTACCCTTGCCGTTACCACGGTTACACTCGATAATTTAGGGACCAACGATATGGGTAACGCTTGGCATCAAATGTCAATACAGTGACACTAGCTAATATGCAATGCAGTTCACTATATACATCAGTGGAATGGGTACAGAATAATATTATATAAAAAGCTAAAAACACTAAATTTGATCATATTTTTATTTGTGTGATTTACTCAAATAAACTTTTCTGAACAATAATCTTATATTTTAGTTGGTAGCTTGAAAAGTATTTTATAGAATAACTATTTACCTAGTGGCAGATTTAGCTATTGTTGGGCCTTAGGCGCAACTTGACGTAATCATTTGGATAATTCATGATGGCGTGAATTAGTAACTAATATTGTATAAGATACATATAATAAAATACACTCAAACAGATAAGGAATAAATACCTATCTCATATCAAAAATTCTCTGACTTTTATATCTGCAAACTGGGCAATAATTTCTTCGTAATTCATATGTCTTAATCTCGTTTTCTATGTTCAGAAGTGAAATAGAATATAAACTATTCCGGGATATTGTGGTCAGTAAATAGTTCTTCACTCTTTTTAACACGATCCTGGGATATTATGTTTGGTAAATAGTTCTTCACTCTTTTTAACACGATCCTGGGATATTATGTTCGGTAAATAGTTCTTCACTCTTTTTAACACGATCCTGGGATATTGTGTTCAGTAAATAGTTCTTCACTCTTTTTAACACGATCCTGGGATATTATGTTCGGTAAATAGTTCTTCACTCTTTTTAACACGACCTGGGATATTATGTTCAGTAAATAGTTCTTCACTCTTTTTAACACGACCTGGGATATTATGTTCGGTAAATAGTTCTTCACTCTTTTTAAAACAGAAAATTACCTTTCACGGATATTGCTACTAGGAAAAGTTAAAAAAATTCTCAGCACAGTTTCTACGTTTGGAAATATCGAATGCAATCGATTCGATAGTAAAATATAGATGTCATTCCGGGAACAAAAATTTACTTCTTCGCAAAATTTGAAAAAAAATGTTTCTTTAAATAACTCAGTGTCTAGATTACTCATATATATAAATTATATAGATTTTTCTCATATTCATGTTTTTCTTTGCTATCTTAAAATCATAGAATATTTTAAAATGTATAATAAAATTACTGTAACACTAGAAATGGATCAGTCTCCTCATGTTAACAATACTTCATTATTAGTATTTTCATCAAAGAATATTTTAAGATGTATAATAAAATTACTGTAACACTAGAAATGGATCAGTCGCCTCATGTTAACAATATTTCATTATTAGTATTTTGAATTTAGTTTGGGGTCACTTAAGCGGGCATCCTTGGTATGCGCGTTTTTCATCGAGTGATAACAAGATAAACTCGTCCAAAGACAGAGCTTGAACCACGTGATATGTGTTTACCTTGGAGTTTTCAACGTAGGTGCTAATTACAGTCAACAGAACTACCGTTTAAGGAAAGTTTAACATTAATAAAATCGTACTCTCCAATATGGTTGAAAAACCTAACAATTAAGAAGCATGTTGCCAGTGTATTTCAACAGAGTTTTGAAGGGGATGTCCTGTTCGTCGTTTCACAAGTATCTTATTTGTCTACTTTCCTTCTATGAAACGTATCGAAATATAAGCAACGAAGCTTATTTGGTTATATATTTATGTTATTTATAAGTCGGAATAAATCAATTAATATATTTAGCTAAGTTTCATAATTAAAAGAAGAAATTCAATATCAACCTAATATTTACAAGCATTATAAAAAATATATAGATAGAAAATAGACATACGAAGGAAACATACTTGAAGATGGTTGCAGGGTAGAACCACATAATATTGTTGTAACATTGTTCTTTTGTTGAACTGGTTCTTTTAAATTATTTGGTGAAAATAATTTCAAGACATTTCCTCTTAACGATAACAAATTAGTTTATTTCTTCTCTGGCGTTTCTATAAGCTTGTACACTGATGTAACTGGAAGTCCTACGTTTACAAATTACGTCCAAACGGAAATACCACGCTAAGTGCACCAAGATTCACGTAAAATTTAACTTACACTGATCCACATACTTCATTAAAATTGTCATTAGAAAAAAGGGGCTGATTTACTATTAACTGAAAGTAAAACACATTGACTCAACTCTTCACTGATTCTTGAACTTATAACCTACTCTCATCTTTCAATAATTGTCCACTTTACTCGGATTTCGTGACATCCAATTTAGTACTTTGTAGGTATTTTAGATCTATTTTACCGCCATGCGCTATCCAGCTAACGACTAAATTGAAACGTTAAAAATATGTCTCCGGTGGGAAAGCAGTAAATTTACGGACTTACAACGCCAAAATCCAGCGTTCGATTCCACGCGGAGGACTCAGCAGATAGCTCAGCGTGGCTATGTTCCAAAAACAAACGTTAGAAACATAGCTTAAAACAATACAAATATCCCGAAGCGTGTACAATAAAAGAAACACATGTAGAAGTTCAACAATATTTTACAAACCTTTAAATTTTAATGATCACCCTAACACATACGGACAAGTACAATCACTAATGGATGTAATTTTATATACATACTTATAGTTCACTACTTGAAAGTTTCAATCAACTAGTTCAAGTTTAGTCACAAGAAATTGGCAATTTATCTCTTGTTTAAGCCATAGTTGAAAGGAAAAAACAAAACAAAACACTGATATCAGAAATTAGTTACATATTGGAATAAATTCATACTATGAATGTTAAAACTGCAGACAGGAAAAAATTAAGCACTGCAGAAAATCGATTTTTATGAGAACAACAATATAGAGTGATTTCATAATAAGCAGGCTGTGGTAGATTTGCAAAACCGTTGATGACATTAGAGAACATTTATGATTATTTTTTAAACGTAGGCCAAGCAGAATTAGCTATATTTCTGACAATCTGACTACAAAGTTTCTCGGGAAGTTTCTTTTGCTAAATAGCTAAAGATGTTAACAAAAGAGTCTTATTAATTACTCGAAATTGTCATTCTTTTCTGTTATATCCACCTTCATTCTAATCAATTTCATCACCTGTCTATATGATATGATCATAAATTCAAAGCTTAAGCTCAAATCTATAAGATGAGTTAGGCCTGTGTGCAGAATGTTTGAAAGGCGGGGGGCTAATTTATAAGATCAAAAAACCATACTGTGCGAAGCACAATCAGCATGCAAAACGTGATATTGTTACGGGAGTCTGGAAGCATCACCCCCCCCCCCTAGAAAATTCATCAAAATATAAGTGGTATAAGATTAAATCCGGAAGCAATTTTGCATGAAATATAGATGTATGAAATAATATGGCTGTTCACATAAAATACATAAACATCCATAATACCATAAACTGCTGCGCTATAATTATATAAGCATTTTTTTTTTACATTACCCCCTTCCCTGCGTACGTACATGTGAGTATCCAATACCGTTTGAGTTTATCTGGTATACATAAGGTTAATAAAGATCAACAGCGATATATATTTACAGATTCTTCTTTTATTTTATTTTTTATTCAACACAGGATCCCTCCCTCAACCAGAGACCAAGTAGTGTTTTTGCGTGACAAGGCAACGAACAAGATATTCTATTAACTGTTTCTCGGAGGTGCTGCATATCCCTTGAAAAGTCCGGCTTCGGAATGGCTTTACCACCTTATCAGCAATGATCATACACTCCTATTTATTATCTGTTTTTTCACTCTCAAATCAAATTATGTGACCTTTTGTCTCTGATAGATTTGCCTTATCGAGAGCTGTCAAAATGTCCATCGTGATCTCATCTAAAACGGTTTCACAAGTTGCACTTCGAATACCTCGAAACCTTGCACGGGGAATGGTGATTGATGATGACATGCCAGTCACTGTCAGAGGGTTATTTTTTGAATATTTATTAGGCTCTTGACTGAAAAAGAGTTGAATTGATGGACGAAGAAGAAGGTTCACATAGCGAACCCATCGGTTACACAAGAAGAAATATGGTAATTAACTGATGATATGAATAATCATAATTCGGTCAGTTTCTGTAAACTATGAATTGCAAACGTCATTGCTGTTTGAAAAAGGAAACTGTTAGTAAGCCTGCAATCAAGAATGCAGCTCTAAACACTTCCGGAATTCAACAATGAACAACTCGTATATGTTTGTTTGTTTTGAATTTCGCGCAAAGCTACACGAGGGCTATCTGCGCTAGCCGTCCCTAATTTAGCAGTGTAAGACTAGAGGGAAGGCAGCTAGTCATCACCACCCACCGCCAACTCTTGGGCTACTCTTTTACCAACGAATAGTGGGATTGACCGTCACTTTATAACGCCCCCACGGCTGAAAGGGCAAGCATGTTTGGTGTAACGGAGATTCGAACCCGCAACCCACAGATTGCGAGTCGAGCGCCCTAACCACCTGGCCATGCCGGGCCAAATTTTTTTATAAACAACCAGCATCCGTCTATCCAGTTCACAACTGAAGAGGACCTTGGTAATAAACATCCTTTCTTTGATTAGACAAATACAAGTGAAATCTAGTCGCAAAATTATACAGAAAACTAACACATACACAGATTAGTATTTTAAGTTCGATTATTGTCATTCCATGTAGATTAGAAAGTGTTACGACATCTCTCTCTTCTCATGACTTCTCCTTGTGATCTTAAATGTTTAGAACAATTACATTTGTCATTGTTTTTGTCAACACTGTTACCCACTTCTTTCATTAGCCACTAATTAATAACTGGTAAGAAACAAAGTCGTAGAAAAAGAGGGAAAATAAATGAACCACGATCTTACATGATGCATTTTTACCGGAATCTGGTCCTACACTTTAATGTATTTGTAGAAAATAGTATTCATGCCATTAGTAAAATACCTATGAACAAAGGTCTGATACCTAAACTTGAGCAAAGAAATGTTATTGATAGTATAAAAAGCAATAGATTGGGGAAACCAGTATATCTCTTCAGATTCTCATTAGTTAACACAAATACAACCTACTTCCTTTTGTAATGAGGCAAAATTGGTTATTGGGTGCAGGGAATATACCCATTGGGATAAAAATGAGGTTACTGAAAATAAAAGAGCTGTTTAGCTACAAACAAGAAATTCTGAGTCAAAACACGTCTTGTATCGTGACTACGGTAGAATGTACTTCAATATGTTGTGGAATAAACTTATAAGTTGTGATAAAACTATGTTAACTACATGTGTTTCTTAACGTTTCTCTTGATTTGTGCATCTCAGTAAATAGCGTTTTAGAGATCTTTTTGTCTCTCCTCGTCTAGCCCAACTGGTGTGTTCTGGTATTAAACAAAGGGCCTCTTGGGCATCGACTTGTAGGAAACAAACAATAGTTCCGATATATTGTTTTTAAGAACCTTTGATTTTGAATCCGAAACATGCAAGTTTAAAGGAATGTGAAAAAAAAAATATCTGCAGTTTATATGATTCTTATTACAAATTTCAGGCCCACTAATTGATTTCTAATCATTCCCCAGCTTTCGTCGTTTAAACCTTAAACTGTGGAATAAAACTACTGAATTAGTATCGGGTGTCCCTTATTTACAAGCATTTTAATGAATTGTAGTAATTCGTTCGTTTAAACCTTAAACTGTGGAATAAAACTACTGAATTAGTATCGGGTGTCCCTTATTTACAACCATTTTAATGAATTGTAGTAATTCGTTCCTTTAAACCTTAAACTGTGGAATAAAACTACTGAATTAGTATCGGGTGTCTCTTATTTACAAACATATAAATGAATTGTAGTAATTCGTTCCTTTAACCATTTTAGGTTTACATTTATATCCTTCATTTTTATATATGTTACTATTGTATGCACGGCTAAATAATGCATAAAAAAGCATTTATTTGAAGTATATAAAAAGCACAAATTATTACTTATTACATGATATGTATACACTATTAGAAAAACACATTAATATGTCAACTGATACTATAATACAAATTTGTTAATAAAATTTTTATATAAACACTTCTAAAGGTAAGTTCTTATATATATTATCGAGTATGCATACATACAGTTTAACATAAAATTTAAGTATTCATATATGGAGAAGCATTCTGAAGTGTTTCAGTCGTTGTCCTTTCTGAATGTTGCTTCACTTGTACGACTCAGCTTTGATTCATTAATTGTCAGGTTTTGAATAAGAAGCAGAATACGGACGTCCAGAAGCAGGATTGATCTTCTCCCAGTAACTACGGCAAGCTCTGGAATAACAAGGACAGAAATAATAGTAAAAAACTATGCTGTGGTCAAAGACATAAGAATAAATTGAAAGCCACTTAGATAACCTTTAGTAGGTTCAACGGAACAACTGTTTCCTCACAAAATCTATTCATAAGTTAAGGAAAAACCAAGAACATTACCTTGCTCTAACCCAAGGTTTGGTATGCATCCTCAGCCCTTCACCCCACATGTCGTGTTTCTCCGATGCTATGGGTTTCTTCCCCCTTTCTTTTGCAAGCTCTTCTGCAACAGCACGGATGTGATATGGTTCAAAACCACAACATCCACCAATGTAACGGATTCCAAGATTATAGGCTTCCCTAGCAAAACGGTGTATGTCCCATCTTGAACAAGTCCTGGGTTCCAATGCTACATATATAAACCAACAATAAATAACTTATTTTATTTATATAAGTTACGATTTGTTTACTCATTGCATTTAGTAACAAGGTAATCTAAAATATTAAACCTTATCCCATTAGGAAGTTTTTAAAAAATTATTATACAACAATAACTTACCAATAAACTGCATTACAAATAATTCTGTATTAACAATAGCTTTACAGAGATACCAAGATTTGAGAATGAGAAACAGTATTGGTATGATACGCAAGGGTGCCCTATTTTGTACCTGCTTTTTGGTTATATGGGAGTTTTTAAATTTCCTTTACAGTGTTTCTAAGCAGTTTTAGCAAAAATTTGTTATCCACGAAACTATTGAATTTTGTGTTGTCCTAGTCGGTTTTGTGTTAATGTTCTTTTGACAGAAAACGTCTTATTCTTAACGTAGAAATACTCAAAACAAATAGGGGGTATGGTAGAGAAAGGGGACAGTTTATGGAAGAGGTGTCGAGTCTAGGAGATATCTTCAAACAAGTATATGTCAGATTTGGAGTCGGCATTTTCAGGATAGATAAAACTGCAGAACTTGTCCAACAGTTTTGCTTGTGAAACTAGTGAATTTATGTTCTGTAGAAAAGTCATTCATTGCTTAGCAGATCATGAACATAAAGAGTGGACAGCACAAGTTTATGTATCGGAGGCAATAATAGTATTACCATGTACACAAGTGATGTTAAGTAGTTTAATACAGACAGTATAAACGTCACTTTCATGTAATGGAGTTATAGAATCCACACATTAAATTTCCAATCTTTTGTTCAGAATGTTAACAACATTCGCTCAGATGGTTATCTACCTAACAAGGGATGAATTCTTGGTGTTGCCTTGTAACTATGAATGGCTGGCTATCCAAATAGATACTCGAATGATTGTAGGCATGGTGGGCAAAATAGAAGTTACCGCTGGTGAACAAATCAAAGGTTGACAACACATTTGAGGTCTTTGGCTGAGGATTGTGTTAACAATCGAAAACCAATACAACAAAAGTAACTCAGTGAATAGAAGTTACCGCTGGTGAACAAATCAAAGGTTGACAACACATTTGAGGTCTTTGGCTGAGGATTGTGTTAACAATCGAAAACCAATACAACAAAAGTAACTCAGTGAATATGACAAAGTATTTGTGGAACCAAGTGGCTAATTTTATCAAACAATAGTGATTCAGCAACATTTAGATATAAACAATGTATGTCTGATAAAGCAACCACTGCACTAGATTCTTTGGAGTAATAGGGAGATTGGAGATGCTGAGATGCATCAGATGCTGCACAACAAAGGCATATAACCTTTACAGAGCACTTAGTCATCACCTGTAGCAATTTTCAGAAAGAAGGAAGGTACACCAAGCTTCTGTGTTGATTTCAGATGGATACGCGTGGTAAACATTTCCTTCCCACAAATAGATGAATGTTCAATGCATTAGAAGGTTTTCATTGGTTCAACACCACGGGTCTGGCATCTGGATATTGGCAAGTCAAAGTGAAGGACCAAAACAAATATGAGACTGCTTTTTTAGCTCAAGAGATGGCTTTTTATGCACTCTGCATCATGTTACTCGATTTGTGTGATGCACCAGCCAGTTTTGAGTGGTTAATGGAGCTTACACTCAAGAGATTGGAATGGGAGAGATTCTTGGTCTATGTCAACTATATTTTGGTTTGTGTTCGAGAACCTGAAGATGATATTCCACCATTTACAATAATCAAGCTATTTACTTTAACTGAAAAATTTAACAAAGGTGAATAATATTGGTCACAATGTTGGGAGAGATGGAGTCTCAGTGATACAGTAAAAAGTTTGCAGTTTTCTTCATTTTGTGTCATATTACTGATGGTTTGTAGCAAACGTTTTAAGATAGCGGCCAGGTGGTTACAGTGCTTGGCTTCCAACCTGAGGGTCGCGGGTTCGAATCCCCGTCCCACCAAACATGCTCGCCCTTTCAGCCGTGGAGGCGTCATTATGTGATGGTCAATCCCACTATTCGTTGGTAAAAGAGTAGCCATAGATTTGATAGTGGGTGGTGATGCCTTCCCTCTAGTCTTTTACTGCTAAATTAGGGATGGCTAGCGCATATAGCCTTCGTGTAGCTTTGCGCGAAATTCAAAAACAAACCAAAACCTTAGAGCTCTCTTTAGCGAATTCTCCAGTGCTGGCTTATTCCTATTAAGATTGAGTTTCTATTGGACACTGAAGCCAGTGACAATGGAGTAGAACCTGTGATTGCATACGAAAGCTGTACACTGATGCTGTCTGACAAGATAAGAGTCACTTGAAGTGGCCATATTTATAAATTACATTTGACACTAATTGTATGATAAGAAATTTACGACTTAGGTGGACCACATTTTGATGAATTGGATATTATAGTTGAAACATCTGGAAGGAATGATAGCACACTCGATAATGAAGTTACAACAATATAGCTTTTTCATAGTTCGTAGCCCATAGCTATGTCAGATAATTGATATGTTACCAAAGTGTTTCATGTGGTTGCTGGGTGCAAGTTATATAAACTACTACAGTATTTGATGATGTATAATGATGGCATATGTATATATGTATGTAAAACAAATAACATGGGTGGGGTCCCATGTGCACTAAATACATTAAATGGAATCCATTTTGAGGGTTTAAAAAATTAGTAAGTCAATTAAAAAAATTAAAGCAATGAACAAGAATATAATGAGGATGTAGAGACAAAGGATTTGACCTCAATGTTAAGAATTGATGAATATGATAAGTGAACTCAAATAGCTGACCAGGAAAGGTTTATTAGAAAATGCGGTGTACCTGTTATTTTCATTAATATTGGTAAGATAATGCTTTAATACTAACATTAAAAAATGTGGCAGGCTATGAATTTTCGTAGAAGAGATTAAAATAACAAAGAAACTCACACCCTGGACTGAGAAATAAAATAGTCTTACCTATGTCTTCCCGTAGCATAGTGCAGAAAATATTTCAAGTTATCCAAGTAAGAATATTACTGAACAGGTGAAATTATCAGTAGTACATGAAATTAATGGTTTAGATATCATAACAAAGTATGTGTCTTAGGTGGTTGTGAAAGGAATATTTTCAGTTATATAGATTGCAATATTTTTAATAACCTAACAATTTTACAGAAAGTTTTTTAATGTTGTTTCACAACAAAATAAAATCTTGAAGAACGAAAATGCAGACTGTAAATGTAATAAGGGAAGGCAGAAGTCACCATCTGCATGGTGAAACCTTACAGCTTGTACCGTAATGGTTGCACAATTTGTAATGGAATAAATCTGTAAGGAATGACACTGAAGGCATTGCCAAGGGTTAATGGTCAGACATGAGTCAGAACCTGTTGCTATCTCGAACCCCATTCTTTCCTACTGGCACTGGTGCTTCCTATATGAAAGTAAAATAGTAGAAGGGGATGAGGCTAGATTGGAGTGTAGAACATTGTATTCCATTGTCCAGCAGGGACAGAGGGCAGCATGAACAAAAGGTAGCCGGACCTTGGGATAGTGAAATTCCAAGGTTCTCTGGACACATGACCCATAGGCAAAATTGGGGGTATAAGAACACTACGCTTATAGACCTGTCACTTGACCAGTACCTGATGTTGTAGTTCATGGTCATAATTGTGCATTATGGCCCCCTTTAGCCTATTCAATTGACTGAATATCCAACCAAATAGAATTTAGTCATACTTGCATTTTAATCTGGTAAAGATTTATCCACGACCAATATCTCTTTCATCGACTAGCTAATGGTTGTCTTTTTGTAGCCCTCATTATCATTGACTCATTTTCTAACTATGAAGTCTTACAAGTAATTGCTCCAGGGTGCCCAGGACATTCTTTAGAATGAGGGGCGTAAACTGTCGTGGATAATGAAAGTGTTAGCTTTACCAAAACTGTAAGTGAGCCTAAAGGTGAAGGCATGTTGCTTGTCAATGCATGAACAAGCTAACCCTGCTGTCTCCAGCAGCAAAGCTGTCTACACTAGAGATATCTCAGAAGTACTCTACAGACCAATGAAAATGATTATGGACTAACTCATATTAGATCAGTTATAGTGGTCAAACGTCGTTGTTAGAAGATGGAGATGGAGTGGGACAGTCTTAGGGCCTCTACGTGCAAAAGGAAAATTGACTGAGGCAAAGAGCCACTCCTCCATCAAAATACGAGGAGGAGACCCGGCATCTACAGGTCAGGCTAGCTGAAGCCAAGCAAGCTCTGGAGAGAGCCCAAAATGACCTTTAGGTATCCACCTCTGTCAACCCATAGACATTCTATCATGTACATACAAGGAAATGAGCACCACAATGGAGCCCAAATCCTGGTTGAACACTTGAAATAATTTGATCACAGTCCTGAGATGAACAAAATGTCAATGTTGTCAAAAGTTAAGTGGAAATCATATTGTAATTAATATGAAAGTGATATTTCAAAATAATTATTACACATTTGCATACAGACACACACATATATATATATATATATATATATATATATAT